GATCTTTATAAAATATGAAACTTTCATGATTGATGAACATGGAGAATGCATTTAGGGGAGTTGGAAAACCCTGATTCCAAATCAATGGTGCACATTGACTTCAGTACTCCGCGGGAATAAATGGCGTATGAACTAATCGTTGGTCACCGGCTACCATGGAACTGCATCTCCTTACGATGCTGCACTGCCTTGTGGATCAGACCCTTAGGTCGAAGGCTAGGGGAGTGGCCACTTAAGAAAACCACCCACTTCGGTTTGAGCACCCGGTCAGTATCACGGACCTCACACATATCAAATGAGATTTGTGTGGCGTATATGTGTTTGGTGCTTCCTTGTACCAAGATCTAATGCCTCTTTTTGATAATGGATATCAAAATATAGAAACGAAATACCATAAAAATATTCTATTGATTGAGATCATGAGCCGGTCGACGTTAGACCACCATTGAAAACTTGGAAGCACTAGACGGCCATTTCGTCCTATCATGAGACTACTCAGTAGTACTCATCCACGATCTAGCTCGTGGGATTCTCTATATCTATATCAAGAAGCCAAAATTAATAATTGTTCAGTATAATGTTATGAACTATTCCAGTTATTTATGAAATTGAAAGAGACTTTCTAGATAGTTTTCCTTTGAAATAAGACCACCTTATAAGACTATTGGTACATTCGGATGTCTAAACCCATATATCTATATATATTTCTTAAATGATCTGAAATGATTGTCTACTGATTGAAATCCAAGTTTCAGCATTTATAATCTATAACTTTATAAGTATATATATACAAGCTATGAAGAATACTGAATACCTTCAGATTACAACATTCATTGAACATAACATAAACCTATCCACTCATACATAATCTCATCACTCTTGAGAAAAAAACAACCGTTCATCTAAACATCATATAAGGATAACTAAATGAAAACTACAACAACCACCATCATAAATGGTTGTCTACGCAAGATACTCAACATCCATTGGCCGGATACCATCAGAAACAGATTTCTGTAGGAGAGAACAAACCAGCTTCCAACTGAAGAGGAAATTAGAAAAACACGATGGAAATGGATAGGACATACACTCCGAAAATCAGCAAACTGCATCACGAGACAAGCCCTAACTTGGAATCCTGAAGGGAAGCGGAAAACAAGAAGGCCAAAGAGCACATTACGTCGGGAAATAGAGTCAGATATGAAAAAAATGAATAGGAACTGGAAAGAGCTGGAAAGGGTTGCGCAGGACAGGGTTGGATTGAGAATGCTGGTGAGCGGCCTATGCTTCTTCACGACGAGTAACAGATGTAACTGTTCAACTGTTCAAATGATATGACAAACCGTGTATATTACTTTCAATTAATCATAAGGACCAAAATATATTCCAAGAAGTCTAACCGTCATGGACACTTCTATTCAACAAGTTGAACTCTGAAGTCAGGTGACACACTAACTCAGAGCAGTATAAAGCGAGTACATACGTTTTTACAATGGATACTGACAATTTAATCATTCTAAATTGTTAAACATGTTGTTAGATTCGGTCAATATAAATATATTACATGATAAAATTAGTGTTTTTGATAGATGGACACTAATGGCTGAGATTTAGATCGATTATCCGATGAACATATGTACATATATCAATGAGTTTGTTTAAATGTTAGTTCGGTTTGTTAATAGTGCTTCCTCATCATTCATAGTCTTGTTAATCATAATAACAGGTTAGGCTAGAATACAAGAAGCCTATATGTATATATCAGTAACGAAGTCTGATGACCGACTAACATAACATGTCATAAACCTTTAAATCCCTTGAAATCTATACAACTACAGCTGATAAAATATTTTTATAGTAGTAGGTAAAAATGGATATCGTCTGGTTGAGTTGACATGGTAAGGCAATTAACATCTATTTACGTTTATAAGAGACTCTCGATTGTTTATGACTATTTGACACATAGATGATCAATCGAGTCAATTATGACATGAATAAAGCAGATTCCTTTTCACGTTACAAGATATCTTACTTAAGCCTCTTACTCCCAATGGAACATTGGCCGACGGATAGCATTCTCCAACCCACTCTGTCCTGAGCATTCCTTTCTAGTTCTATCAAATTGTTGTTCATTCTTCTCATGTGTGTCTCCGTTTCTCGGTGTAATATGTTCTTTGGTCTTCCTCTTTTCCTTTTGCCTTGACGATTCCAGGATACCAGATATCATTTATCCCTTAATACATTTCATGAGGTTAAGAATAGTGTTCTACCAACATCAGTATTCAAAGAATAAACCAAGTAACAAAAACTTAAAATGACTACAAGTTTATGAAGAATTTTCACTGACTTAAAATGCATGCAGTTTTTCTCCTTAAGCACGATATTCAACAACACTGTTTAATGATTAACTTCTAGTATACATCCATGAAAAAGCCTAATCAATATACGAGAATATTAACCGTGAATCACCCATAAGTCATGATATTTTCAAAGTATCAATTTATGAAACTAACTATGAAAACAATAAACTTAATCTTGTACGAAGGGATTCATTAGTTTAAATCTGAAGGAGTTAAAGGATGAGAAATATTGAACTGACTTCGAAAAAAACAATGGCAATTAACATAGATCTACATTGATGTCAACTGACTAACTTAAACAGTCACCTAATTGAATATAAAGTCAGTATATATTGAATATCAATGAAGAATTATTCAACAAACAAGTGATTTTACTTATTCGGTCTAAAAATGTTCAAAGTGAAGCTATTCACTGTCGGGTAGAGACAAATATCTACTTCGGTACAATGGGAGATGGTCACGCGATTTCGTGGATTGGTTGAAACTAGACATTAATACCATTAAATGCCGACCAACTCAGTGGTCTAGAGATTAAGCTTTCACGAGCGAGACTGAAAGCTCTGGGTTCGAAAGTTAATTATCTAAACGATAGTTGGTTTTTCATTCATGTTTATTACCAAATACAGAATCTAAAGACATTTACTCATACTTTATAAAATGCACCGATGCAGACGTAAAGGCAAGGATTAGTAAAACAATGTATGCATTTATACAAGTGAAGAATATTTGACACTCAAAATAACTGTCAAACTATATCAATGTCAATATCTTCAATATAAATATCAAAACAGTTAGTTATATTGTAGGGAACTGAAAATTCGAGAACTACAACAACCATCATCAAAATGATACAAGTATTTATAAACAATTATCTATGTGAGACACTCACTGTCGGTTGTTGATCAGATATCATCAGCAATAAGATACTTTGGGAGAGAAAAAACCAACTTCCAACTCAGGAGGGAATTAGAAAAAGGTGAATAGGACACACATTGAGGAAATCGCCAAACTGTATCATGATACAAGCGCTAACTTGCAATCCTGGAGAGAAACGGAGAAGAAGTTCAAAGAACACACAGTGTCAGGAATTGTAATCAGATATGAGAAGAATGTATAGCAACTGAAAACAGGACTGTCTATGAGGAATTTAGATGAAGAATGTTGGTGAGTGACTCAAGCTTCTCCATGAAGGGTAACAGTGGTAAGTGAGTAAGTAATAATCACACTTAGATATTGTTGTCTTTAAGTCCGGCTAGTTATCACTTAATTTATTCGCCAATCAAAATACAAGTTATTCGCCGTTGTACTGACTCAACTAATAACTTTCGTCCGCTCTGACCAGCCTAGCATCCTATTGCTCCGTTGCTCACCCAGCCCGTCCAACTGAGTTCAGAATGCCAATAACAGCCTCCATTATGTAATTCATTTATTTCAGACATTCTTGGTTTATATACTAGCCAAGTAGGCTACAACGCAGCATAAAATAGGAAATAACATTCGTACACAATAAAGTCCAAAAGTGGCTGTGAACGTGAGAGACAGTCATGAATAAACTGAGTATAATTTAAGAACAGTAAATCGTATAGTAATAATAATAATCTATAGGTGAAAATAAAACCCATTATAATAGGAATGTAGTTATTCACAGCCTAGTTACTGAATATTTATACTATAAGTATACACATATAATATTAATCCATTAATAGGTTTCAGAAGTTACTCGTAATTTAATCTTCGCTAAGATATAACATACACTATACCCTTGTAAGTCAGGGTAATTTTACATTGGCTTTCAGTAGAACCAGAGATTAACCAGATTTTCTTGTGACAACTCAAACAGTACAGATCAATCCTGTTTCCTGGAGAACTAAACACCGCTCAGATTTAAATTTTATAATTTGAATAGTACAGCTCAATCTTACTTCATACGAGTACCAGACATGGCATAAGTTTTAACGCTCAAATCTGAATAGTACAACTCAATGCTGTGTCGCAAACATTCACGTATCAAGCACCCTGATGAACCAGAAGAACAAATATTATATTATATAGATCACAACAGAATATTAAAACCTATTCATAATTGATCTCTCTAGATCTAATTTCAATTCTGTAGTAAGTATATTTCACTGGTTGAAATCATGAGTCAATTGAAGCTAGACCACCATGGAAAACCTGGAAGCACTGGACGGCCGTTTCGTCTTAGTATGGGACTCCTCCCTGGAAGTGTGCATCTACGACCCCAGGATCTATCAGTCTCGCGCCAGGCGCTTAACCAACTAGACCACTGAGATAGCATCTAATGATGTTAAGATCTCGCAGGGGGTAGGATCGTTGATGATCACTGCTGAGGAGTGCCATATTAAGACGAAACGGCCGTCCAGTGCTTCCAGGTTTTCCATAGTGGTCTAGCCTCAATCGAATCATGATCTCAACCAGTGAAATTTCTAAAAATCTCCACAAAACCCATTCTGATAATAAATCTATTTATAATATTATATACTTTCATTTGATTGGTTAATTATAATTAACCAATCAAATCTTTACACAATTTCTAATTTAATAATCAATTCATTTGATCATCATTATCATCATTGATCATCATCATTATTATTATGTTTCGTTTAAATTCCTGATTACAAATGATCTCATTTTTAAATTTATTAATGAATCAATTATATTTTGAGTAGATTATATAATCATCACTATCTATTGATTGATCGATTGATTTATTGATTAATTAATCGATTATTTAATTATAATGAACTATGATTAATGATCAGTACATGATTTCATTTATTAAAACACACACACATATATATATCTATCTATATCTATATCAAACATTGAATCAATTCAGTTTGAATCTGTTCAATCTATTCAATTAACAATATATATAAATAGATGTATGTTACTAAGTGATATGTCTCACTCTCTCTCTCTCTCTCGCACTCTCACTCTCTCGCCATAGATACAAATATTATTCAATGAAATAAATAGAAAAAAATTTTTTTTTGAGGGGTTTAATTGCATCAATCACTGAACAATTAAAAAAAAAGAACAAGGAAAATTTAATTATTTAATTAATCAGAAAAAACTTATAAAGGGTAAAGGATTTATATTATTGATTTAAACAATTGAATATTGATCAAAAGAGAAAAAAAAAGAAAGAAAGATATTTCGGTAAGGAGTATTTTTTGTTGTTGTTCTTGTTGTTGTTTTGTTTATTAAAAAAAAATACTCATTTACGATTGTAAGTCTTTGTGGAGGAGCATTGGCTATTTAATGGTATTCTTCATTGAACCTTATTGTGAACAATCTTTTCCAATTGTTATACATTTTTTTGATATTTATTTCTATTTCTTGATGTAATGTGTTCTTTAGCTTTCATGTTTTCTGTTTCTTTTCTGGATTCCAAATGAAAACTTGTCTCATGATATAGAATGATGATTTACATAATGTATAACCTATCCACTGGCTGGGTGAGCAACGGAGCAATAGGATGCTAGGCTGGTCAGAGCGGACGAAAGTTATTAGTTGAGTCAGTACAACGGTGAATAACTTGTATTTTGATTGGCGAATAAATTACGTGATAACTAGACGGACTTAAAGACAACATTATATAAGTGTGATTATTACTTACTCACTTACCACTGTTACCCTTCATGGAGAAGCTTGAGTCACTCACCAACATTCTTCATCCAAATTTCTCATAGACAGTCCTGTTTTCAGTTGCTATACATTCTTCTCATATCTGATTACAATTCCTGACACTGTGTGTTCTTTGAACTTCATCGTCTCCGTTTCTCTTCAGGATTCCAAGTTAGCGCTTGTATTGTTATACAGTTCAGTGATTTCCTCAATGTGTATCCTATTCACTTTTTTCTAATTCCCTCCTGAGTTGGAAGTTGGTTTGTTCTCTCCTAAAGTATCTTATTGCTGATGATATCTGACCAACAACCGACAGTGAGTGTCTCACATAGATAATTGTTTATAAATACTTGTATCATTTTGATGATGGTTGTTGTAGTTCTCGAAGTTTCAGTTCCCTACAATATAACTAACTGTTTTGACATTCATATTGAAGATATTGACATTGATATAGTTTGACAGTTATTTTGAGTGTCAAATATTCTTCACTTGTATAAATGCATACATTGTTTTACTAATCTTTGCCTTTATGTCTGCATTTAATTCTTGTTCATTGATGATGCTTTTAATTTGTTTAATCTGATTGGCGTTTTTTTAGCAAGTTTTTTTCTGTACAGGATATGGTTATCAACCTCATGTTCAACCCACCTTCCTTACCCGGGCTTCGGACCGGCAGTAACTTTAGTAAAGCTACTGATAGAGTTGTTTATTAAAATAGTTAAGTCTAATTCATTGATTATGATATAAAATCGATAGTACATAAGAATGATAATTTTGTTTGGTATTAAATGTTTATAATCTTTACAATCTGTATTCATCTTTAGTAAGTTAATTGTCTTTATAAGTGCACTTCAGGATCAAGTAGTAGTTGTTTATTTTTTAATGTTTAAGTTTACATTAAAGATACATTGAAGTTTAATTCATATCAATTCTTTGAATGAATTAAATAGTTATGTTAGATTTTACACTGAATTACTATTGTCAATATAACTTAGAAGATAGATGGATCTGATATACATGATATTGTTTATTAACCAGTGATCAATTAAATACAAGTAAATACATCTCATTAGTTCTACTGGAGGTCAGTTGTCGACTGGATAGCTCAGTGTTGATGTGAAGCCGAATAACACAGGATCGATTCTGTCAGGAAGTATCAGTTCTTTCAAAAATAATACAGATACACTTTGATGACGAGTACCAAATAACACGAAACCTAGGTTCAAGGTTTCCTGTTGACTGCTTCCAACTAATGGTTGGAGACTCTGGGTGACATGGCTCGGAATCGATTACAATGGCGTAGGTGTATATATAGTTTCTGTCTTCCTTTAAACTATAAGGTTAAAATCACTTCATATCTTTCTTTCTACCAACCAATTATTTCTTCATGTACTATATCCTTGTATGCAAACTTTCTTTCATATATCAGCACCAGGGAATTAACTACTGCTATGAATCTAATGTTTATCTTGCTGTGCTAATGAAGTATGGCTACTTGGACCAATACATAAATGTGCTAGGTCCTACATTGTAGCTGACTGACTGACTTCCAACCACCATCTTATCTCGACACAATACACCCAATGTTTAGTCACCTTGACTACTGGCCACATTATAATTTGGTCGATAGGATTCGATTTGTACTAAGAAAGACCTGACATACATGATATTTGATCACCACCTAGTGATCAATTAATTGTGAACGTGTGCTTATTTGTATATTATTTATTGTTAATTAATGACTATTAGCGAATAGATCTTAATCAAAAACAATCTAAAAAGATATTTGGTTTGATGGTATGAAATTAAATTTGATCCTTTATGATTATTATTATTATTATTACTTACTTACTTACTTACTTACTTGCTTACTTACTTACTTACTTACTTGCTTACTTACTTACTTACTTACTTACTTGCTTACTTACTTACTTACTTACTTGCTTACTTACTTACTTACTTACTTACGCCTGTTACTCCTCGTGAAGGAGCATAGGCCGCTCACCAGCATTCTCAATTTTAACCCTGTCCTGCGCAATCCTTTCCAGCTCTTTCCAGTTCCTATTCATCCTTTTCATATCTGACTCTATTTCCCGACGTAATGTGTTCTTTAGCCTTTCTGTTTTCTGCTTCCCTTCAGGATTCCAAGTTAGGGCTTGCCTCGTGATGCAGTTTGATGATTTGCATAGTGTATGTCCTATCCATTTCCATAGTGTTTTCCTAATTTGCTCTACATTTGGAAGCTGGTTTGTTCTCTCCTACAGAAGTCTGCTTCTGATGGTATCCGGCCAATGGATGTTGAGTATCTTGCGTAGACAGCTATTTATAAATACTTGTACTTTCTTGATTGTGGTTGTTGTAGTTCTCCAAGTTTCAGCTCCATACAGTAGAACTGCCTTGATATTGGTATTGAAGATTCTCACTTTGATATTGGTTGAAAGTTGTTTTGAGTTCCATATGTTCTTTAATTGTAGGAATGCTGTCCTTGCTTTGCTAATCCTTGCCTTTACGTCTGCATCTGGGCCGCCTGTAGCTCTTATAGGGTTACTGTCGGTCCCAAGCCCGGGTAAAGGAGGAGGGTTGGGCATGGGGTTAGCGTCCCCATCCCATAGAAAACTAACTCGCTAAAAAAACGCTTACCAGAAAAAAAATAATCCAAACCATTATTATTATTATTATTATTATTATTATTATTATTATTATTATTATTATTATGATTATTATTATTATTAGAAGCTTTATTCAACATTATATTTTTTGGTACAACATAGAATTCTCAGCATAAAGTATTTCAACTAGTTTCCTTTTCTTATACCTTGATCGATTGTGACAATAAATTTTGAATAATGGCCAGTTAGATGTTAGGAGTTCGGTTATCCACATTTAATTAATGTTCATTCGTTTCAATGCATATTGCCAGCCACCATGATGTCGCTGATTGTACCTTTTTGTAATTCGTATAGCGAAAAGTTGTAAACTTTTCATAAACGCGCTTGAATAGATTCTGCGCGCAATAAACATAATGATGTGCTAAAACAAGCAATAAAACAGATAACTTGATGAAATATCTAGATGGGAGGAACAGGTAGCCCAGATGTTCAAGCAGGCCGCCAAGTTAGTTTATGTATATATAACACAAAGAAATGAATAATAATAATAAAGATTTGAAGCTTTATTCTTTAAATACAATTATGTGTTATTCAGGATTAGTATTTCTTTGATTATGAATAAGTGTGATCTTGAAAATTTAACTTCTAAAATAAGTACTTCCATGAGACTATAATTTATGAACAACCTTTGACCGACGCTAGACTAACCTTTAGAGTGGACACCTACTAACTACGACCAAATGAGGGTTATAAACCAATGTGTGAGGGATTCGAATTATGATTTACAATTGATGGTTAGGGTTAGGAATTACAGTTAGGGTTTTCATCACGAACAGACATCAGCTATAATGTGAAAACTTTATTTAGCCAAATGGATGAATGAAATTCGCGCGAAAATCTGAGATCTGTTATCTTATACCTGATTGGTTCATTCAAAAATTATAATCTCACCGAATTATTTACATTCGGTTATTTGAAAATCCTTAGTACATTACATCGATTATTATTATTATTTCATATCTTTAGTTTTGTTCGATATCACAAATGAATACACTTTGTGTAATATTATATAAGTATTGATTTTTATTCATTCTTCAGATGATAAACTCAAAATTGAGATCATGAGTCAATTGAAACTAGAGCACCATGGAAGATCTGGAAGCACTCGATGACCGTTTCGTCCTATTTTAGGACTCCTCACCAGTGCGTATCCACGATCCCGCCCCTCGCGCGATTCGAACCCAGGATCTATGAGTCTCGCGCGCGAGCGTTTAATCATTAGACCTCTGACACATCCATCATTGTTTTCAGTGAGTTACTATCTCACAACAGACCTGGTTGAACTCCACTGATCACTGTTTCTCACTAGAACTCCAGGAAATATCTCTTGAAACCAGTTACTAGTGAGTATATGTTGAATAGTATCAGAAAGGGTTTTGTGGAGATTGTAGTAATTTCACTAGTTGACTCATAATCTTCACAAAACCCCTTCTGATATTATTACTAACTTTGAAAATAATTTCCCTGTAATTAAACTAAGTGACATTATTGTAGTGGATTATATATGTGGTTATATGGTTAGACCATCACATATTCTCATGAAACCTCTTGAATGTTTACATTCACGAGTTAGATAATATTTTCTTAAGGTTAGATGTTTATGTCGCTAGTTATAAATGTGCGAATACATGTTCATTATCTACCCTGATCTAGATGCTTAACAAAGGATTGTATATAAACCTTTGTATTGCATAGTAAATATATATATATCATACTTTATCAGTCTAGGAATATCTCTATGGTCAATCAATGTATCACTTGTACTGATTCAGCTTGTAAACTATATTTATCAGAGAATCTGAAACGTATATTTTGCACTATTTGGAACTGGTGAGCTGCATTTACCTGTATCTTGAACCTGAT